GGGGGGGGGTAATTGAAAAAAATCGAGAGGGGTAAGCAAAAAAGTGAAGTGTATTTTGCGAAAAGTGTACTTTTTTCGTTTTTTTTTTGCTCCTCACTTTTTCGGCGAAAATCCCTAGCAAATTAAAAGAATTTTTCTTACATTGAAAACAAAAGTGAGGAGCAAAAAAAAAGGTCCTCACTTTTTTGGCGAAATTCCCTAGCAAATTGAAAGAATTCTTTGAAAATTTTGAAGGGGTAACACTTCGTCAGGGGGGGGAGGTAATTGGACCCCTCGGACCCCTGCTGAGGACGTATGACTGTTATTATAATTTGAAGAAAATGAATATCTCTGAAGTGTGTCTGTATCCAAAATTTGAGTTTTTGAAGTGAAGCGACTATTATGTGCATTGGAATTTCCATATTACGAAATTATCCAAAAAAAAATTTCTAAAGTGAACAGAATTTTACTAGCCACCATTTTGCTGACGAAAATGAAAATATTGTTGATTTTACACTGACTTACTTCCAACTAAAATCGACATATGCATATTTGCATATTCATTCCGATTTAATTTTTTAAAAAAATCGAACAAAATTGGGTTTAACCAATTAAATGAATTGATTGCGAAAATTTTAATTTCGTTTTTAATTTGGTATTATGTAAAAATTCAAAGACCCTAGAGACGGTGGTTGCTTGCAATAAATCGTATACTTTTCTATTAGTGCCGTTCATTATATTTGTGCGTTGGTGAATTCCGTTGCGTTGTTTACAAAAGAATGTTAAAAATATCAAAAATCGGTGCCATAGCGATGGTGTTTCTGTTCATGTTCAACTTTCATTCATTGGAAGTCACATGCGAAAACAGCTATAAGAGAATATATTTAATAGATTTTTTTTTAAATTCCCCAAATCGAGAATGCGACCGATGAAACTCACATCAACGATCTTAACGATTGTTTTAAAAGAAGAATTGACGGCCCCAATACATATGGATTAGCATGCAATTGGCAAAATATTGGTTTTCTAATGTAACATTCAATTTCAATCACAAAAGTTCGTAACATATCAACATTTGAATATATTTTTTTTACTTTATTTGTAACACAATTTTGGCGAGAAAAAAAATTCCTCTCGAAAATATGTTTGCCAACCAAAAATGTTTACGCATGTCTAGATGTCAGTCGTGTGGAATTGCGAAAGAGAGGCTAAAAAAGAAACGCTCGTTCTATTTTCACTTCCTTTTAACAAAATCATTATAAAAGAAAGATGACATTTCTGTATGTTTCGGATTCCAAATTCAACCGTTAAAAAAAACTATGCAATTTTATGCAATCACAAAGATTGTATGAGTATTCATCCGATTTATAAAAACCACTACGTAAAAATAGACATACAAATCAGCTGACGTAACATATTAAATAAAATCTGTATACAGATCGGTTTTTGGTTTATTTTCGTCATTTTACCCAGATTTCGAACTAACAACATAAACTATTTGTTGTTGTGTTTTGTTCTATCGATTTCCAAGTTTCCCATTCTCTCTCTCTCTCTCTCTCTCTCTCTCTCTCTCTCTCTCTCTCTCTTGAAAACTCACACAAAAAGATTACACAATAATTCTTTTTAACGAATATTTAGGTTGAAATGGGTTCAACAATTGTTCGAGTTGGTTCTTCTATTTTTGGATATAGACCGAAGAAAATTGATGGAGCAAATGTGTAAATGCTGAACAACACTTATTTACAGGACAACAAAATATGGCATTCTTAATGCGACCAAAATCGCATACTCTCTTTCTTGTGAACACATCAATTCCGTTTATGAATCTAAAATGTTTTATCGATTTTAAATGTATATACCTGAAAAAATTATCACAATTATGAATAAAGTTTGTTGTAGAATAGAAAAAACTATTTGATTCATCTAATTCCAATTGTTTGAAATATCTTTAACTTTTCTTGGAGTGTCTACAGAAAATTTTGCGACCGACATTTTTTTGCAATCAATTTAGAGCAGACTTTATGTAAAATGAAGTAGATTTCATTAAGCTCTTGCTGCAGTAGGTTTGATATTTTATCGGTTACGAAATCGAATTTTTCATTTAATTCTTTAGGTTCGACGTAAAAAGATGTTATAAACAAGTTTAACCAAAAATGAGGCCGTAAAATTTTCCAATAACTACCATTTCGAAACACATAACTTGAAAAATAAAGCATATATTTAGAGCAGATCGTACACATTCGAGGTCATCAGACGTTAAAACAGCTTTAATCTATAGATGCTTTCATATTGAATATTTTGTGTTTCCGTTTATGAAAAATGTTCAATGCCTTGATAGATTTGGATTTTGAAATGATTATTTCATTGTATTTTGTATTCAAATTTATTATTTACTTTTTGTATTCAAATTCAGGAAGACATATCCTTGCACAAATATTGAAACTAAGCCGTTGAAGTTAGCAAATTGCATTATGAAACGATTAAAGACTTGAAATGAAGTCTTCATCAAGTGTAAATGCAAATGAACCAGTGTTTCATTGGATTCAGGAACATTTTTAAAAAATATTTTGTCAACTTGGAACGAATCGTTCCGTTTTTCGTCAAATGTAATTCTTTTTGTTTCATGATTTTCTCTTAGTTTTTATGATATTCAAAATCACTTCAAATAAACTAAGCATTCTCAAAAAGCTACGTTTTATTATTGAAATGCACTCTGAAAAAACATATGTGGGGATTTTCACAAAACTTTGTGGTGAAACTTTTTTCACTACAATTTTTTTTCAAAATAAAAAAACATTTTCACAATTTTATTTTGCCAAAATGAATTTGAATTTGAATTAAACAAAATAAAAATTTGTGGTGAAAAAATTTTCATTACAAAGTTTTGTGAAAATCTTCACTTATGTTTTTTTAGAGTAATAGAGACAGCTTTAAATTGAATGACGTTTGATTTGAACATTTTCTTATTAAAACATGCGACAACTATTTGGCATTAAAATATATTTATGAAAGATGAGAATTATTCGTGTTTCTGATGATTTTCAGTATTCAAGTTTCCTGTAAATATTTCAAAGTGGCTTGAAATACCGTTGAAAATAAACGTATAAAAGCATGCAATTACAACAAAAACTCCATACAAAAAATATGCTGCCATTTTTTCATTGAATATGCGTAGAAATTTTGCAAATGCTGATGCCAAATGCATTAATTTCCATAGTCAGGCTCTAGGGGGGAGACACGGCCTTTAATATTGCTAATTTTCCCTAGTTTCATCCTTAGATCAGGCTTCTTGTTGCAATTTCATATTTTCGGCTTTGAGGCATCGAAAATGAAAAAATCAAATATTCTCTTTGACTATCAATTTTCTGGAGCAACGAAAATGTCTTTTGGATCGCATAAACTGAAAATCTACAATTTACGGATAAAAAAATCTATAAACCTTTAAAACAGATGACACATATTTTGAAAGATGTTTTTTTCTTTTCAAAATTAGTATACAAATGTTCGATGATTTCTGTATTCGAATTTAATATAAGGTAGATTCCAATTACTTGTGAAGCGTCGAGATTATTGATGAAGTTTGTTCTAACTAATGCGATTAGACTCGGGCCTTGCATTTAAAGTTGAATTTGTTTTCTTTTAGAGCATTTGCAATTAGTTAAGCTACATTGTATCTAAAAAAAAGTCATCACAAAAAAAAAATCTTAGTCAATATTTGATGTAATTGACGATGACATTACAGTTGCTCAATCGAGACGAAATATTTAAAGTTTTCTTTAGATAAACTATGCAAATCATTAATTGTTTACTTAGTTGAACTTAAAACCACTTTCATACGTCTACAAAGTATAACAGTTGGGAAACGTTTTTCAAGGTACGTTTTTTCGAAGCCCATGAGAAACAAGTAAATTCATAGGACTTTTTGATTCTTTCCTGTATAAATTCTTCAATTTTTCGTAGTCTCTTATTTTCACTTGAAATTCAAAGCGCACGAGAAAAAATGTTCAAAGTGTAACATGAATAATGCGATAAAATATGTTTTTCTTGCGCATATTTTGATCAGCATAAGTAAAACGAGAAAAATAACGGCGAAAGCAAAGGCAAACGCCACATACCCACACACACTACACACAAATGTGGGTGTTCCTTTGCTTAATTTTTGCGCATTGGAACTGAATCGAAAATAAACCGAGCGCTTGTTCTATGTAATCCTTTATTCGCATGATAAATTCACGTAAAGTTGCATACAAACACAGTCAAAATGAAAGAGAGGTAAAAATGTAAGCGTATTGCTTAAAAAGAATGAATAATTCTTTACGGCTTTTTTTTTCCCGTTTCTCGCCAAATAAACGTATAATAATAATAATAAAAAAAACACACAAACTTCGCCGAAGAAAAGAAGCTGGCAAATGGCCAACAACATGAAATCCGAAAATACAATATATTCATCACTGAATACATTTTTTTCGAAGATTTCAATATTGTTTCCCTTTTTATTTTATTTTTTGATCTTTTTTGTTCTGTAATATGCTGAGCGAATTTTAAAAATATCAAAAAATATGAAGCTATCATGGAAATTTGCGTATGTGTAGTTCAATTTACAAGCACAGATACGGATTGATTCTCGGCCACTTTTCGGTGAGCTTTATTGGACTCATCAGGTGTGCATTATCACCGAAAGCAATTTTAATTGAAACTTTTTCTATGACGCCGTAATTTATTATACTTGGACGACTTTGAATATCGAAAAAAAGAGACATTGGATCATTGTTCAATCGAATCTATTCGATTGTTGAACATTGTTTAAATTTTTTTAGAATATGTTTCATGTTGAAAATATGTACGAAAAAAAAAAAACCAACAACAAACAAAAACAACAACAGTTAGAATTGAATTGTCCGTTTTTAAAATGTCTTGCCTAAATTTGTTTGTATTCGGACTGGTCACATATTTTCTCTCCCCACCCGCGCGACATTTTGTCGTCTCGAAATTCTATTGAATGTACCATGATTATAATATGTGGTGTTTTATAATATCAAAGCGTTGAATATAGGGACTTTCGAAATCGTCGGTTCTAATGTTGTGCGGCTATGATCAATTTGCGATTGAATCATTCGCGCATGTGCAGTACATAAAATGTTGTTAGTGGACTTTCTTTTTTATTCATGAAAAATCATGAGTTTTTTTTTTCGTTCCTTTCGGTGGGAATATAGAAACATCGTTACGTATACAACACACCAACACACAAATGGGACGATCTCTTTTGCTCACTTTCTTTGATTGTAAAAATGAGTTAATTTTAGATATATGGGCAAATCGTATTGAAATATATATTGTGGCTACTAAAAAAGGAGCTATTTTGTGTGAGTATGTGTGAAGGCTGCGCCGTGAGCGACAACTTTTCGAACCGATCTGAGACGGACGAACGGAATTAAATATCAGTTGCTGCTAGCGTTTTGGGAATAGTAGTCGATAACAACTGAACAATCAACATGGTAAGTTGAGAGAGCAGCTCCTCGATTGAGAAATTGAACGAAAAAATGGTTAAACACCAAATCCAGTTCTGAACAGTGGAAAAAATCGTGAAAATTCTGAAATAACGAAAAAAGAATTGAATATTTTTCATTTTCATTTTGATCCGTTATAATGAACGCCGGCCATGGGATAATTCATAATTTACGAGAAAAGTGAATAAAATTGAGAGTGCAAAATTTGAAGTGATTTTTAAGAAGCATTTTTCTTTGCATGATGTGTCTGTCGAATGGAAAGGAAATTTCGTTTAAAAGCTTTATTTTCCAAGCTCCAAGACAATGGAATTTACATATGGAATTTGTGTGCAATGGTGTTATATGAGAAATGGATAAAAGTTTTCGAAGTTTGCAAATTGAATTGTTTTCTGTCGAATGAATAAAAATGAACGAAAAGAAAAAATGAATAAACAAATAAGTTGATTTTATAAAGCAAACAAAATGAAAATGTCATTTCATGAATTCGTAAATTGACTTGTACTGAGCATTTGAATCCATGCATGAAATCCAATGTGTTATGCAATAACAGACAACTCGATTTTCAACGTGAAAAAAGATGTAAAGAAAAAAAAATGTTCGATTCGAAGCAACACCGAAAATAAAGCGATATCCAACACCTAATTCCAATGTGGATGCGTGTGCGAAGCTATTTTTAGTAGTGGGCAAAGCGCTCAAAGCACACACACACACACACAAACGGTGAAAATGAAATCCAATTCGCAATAAGACGGCGAGTGTGATTTATTTTTAGCATTTGGCCACAATTCTCTTCGAGATTTAAATTCTTCAACATTCCTTCTCAATTTTAATTTATGAGAAATGATTTCGATAATATGTATCATTTGTCGCTCAATCAACGCACATTCACACAAAACCAAAAACCAAAACAAAGAACAATTTTCACGATTTTTTCCAATGTTTCCGCCGAAAAATAAAAACAAATTCCAATTACTCAAGAGCCAATCTAAAGTAAAATAATTGATTGTTCGTTTCATTTCCAGTCTGAAAAAGAGAAGAAGGTAAAGAAGAAGAAGACCAAGGAGGGAGATTCAACCTCTGAAGCTACTCCAGAGGAAACTCCAGCATCCACTCCAGCAGCTTCATCAGCTGCCGCTACACCAAAATCACCATCAGGCTCAACCCGCCAATCATCGAAATCGGGTGGTTCGTCATCAAGACGTGCCAAGCGTGCCGGTTCAAATGTGTTCTCTATGTTCTCGCAAAAACAAGTTGCCGAATTCAAAGAGGTGAGAGAGATCAATATTTCGCCAATTCAAATCCAAAAACGATAAGAATTGAAAAAGAAATTTTTTCTAACATGTATTTTTTTTTCTTCTCTATTTTGATTTTGTGCACAGGCCTTCCAACTTATGGACCAAGACAAAGATGGTATTATTGGTAAAAATGATCTTCGTGCTACCTTCGATGCTGTCGGCCGTTTGACAAACGACAAAGAATTAGAAGAAATGTTGAGCGAAGCATCAGGACCAATCAATTTCACACAATTGTTGACCCTATTCGCAAAACGTATGGCCGGCTCTGGAGCAACAGACGATGATGATGTTGTCATCGAAGCATTCAAAAAGTTCGATGAAGGTGGTATTATTGACGGTGACAAATTGCGTCACTTGTTGACTAACTTCGGTGAGCGATTCACACAAAACGAAGTTGATGATGCCTACGATCAAATGTGTATCGACGATAAAAACATGATCGACACTGCCGCCCTTATCGAAATGTTGACCGGCAAAGAAGAGGGAGAAGAAGAAGAAGCCGCCGCATAAGAACATTTATTTTTTATTTTTTTGTCAATAAAGAAAGAAGATAAACAAAGCCGCCTATAATTTTCTTTAAATAAATTACATAAAATGTGTGGCATTTTATAGGACTACGTACTTTTTTGGCAGACAATTGAGAACGAATCGCCCATATATATTTTTTTTTTCTATCAAAATAAAGTTACAAAGCAAACAGCATCGTTAAAATTTTTCACATTTTTGAAGTCTTGAAAGAAAAAGAGATGGAGATGAAGAAATGATGAGAGAAAGTGGAAGCGGCCTCAAACTCGCAAACAGTCATTGCATAATCATACACTTGTTTTACTTTCTAGCTAATTGTTAAGGACATTATTTTAATACAGAGCATAGTTTTTTTTCCATCAAACTTATTCAGCAATGAGTTACTTTTATCTTGTCTGCCATATATAAAATTTACCACATTTGTTCCATTAAGAAAAATGCCAGAGATATATTAAATTCATTTGTCATTCATTGTCGTGTTTCTTTTTGTTCTCTTTTCTTAAATTTAAACGTGGTTGAAGACATCCTTATATGTGGGTATCGCCTTGAATAACACACGAAAAAAAAATCATAAACATTTTTAATTTGCTTGGTAATTTTCCACTGTTTGTTTTTTCTCTGTCAATAAAATTATATCATTTAATGTCTGATATAAACATTTTTTTTTATTTTTCATTGACATTCGATAATATTGGTTACAGAGGCTGATTTTTTTTTGTAGCAACCAAATTTTGTGTTTTCACACAGCAGAGAATTGAGCTAAAAAGGAGTAGGCGGTCATGAATGTAAGGCAATAAGAGAATGTTTTCCTTTCGCTAAGGCTGATATTTTAATTTGAAGCAAATGTGTGCCGTTGTGCGACATAAAAACAAAAATAGCCAACATTCTGCAATCGTTATGCGTTAGCATCAAGAATACAAGACCTCTGTCGAAGTGATGATTTTTTTCTTCTACAAATACACTAACTGGTTGTTATTATTTTTAAAAATGAATAAAGCGCGTCGAAACACAATCTGATACCAGTAGATGGCACTCGCTTTACTAATTCTCGATGTTGTTTTGAAATTATTATTATTTTTCACCCGATCGAAATGGATTCACAACAACGATATTTAACTTAATTTCATTTTAATCTGAATTTTATCCAGCAATATTGAACCAGTATGCTTTTAGTCTGTTGAAAATTATCTTTGATAAGAAATTGGGAAATAATTTATGAGAAAAAAACATTCTTCGAATTGGCTGATTGAGTAAATGAGCATTATATTGACATGGATTCAATATTTAGATAGGTGATTAAGTTTCTTAAGTGCTTTTTTCGACTTCGATGATGTGTAAGCAAGTCGTTGATACAATTAGTTCTTCGACATATTTTGGCAAGAATGCATATAATCTACCAACGAAGATCGAAAGAACGTATTTATATTTTAGTTTGAATATTTCATCTCTATTGAATTGGTCTTACATAGAAATGCGATTCAATAAAAGACTCCATTATTACTCTAATTTGAAAATATGCTTATCCAATTTGATTTTTTCTCTTGCAATACAATTGGACTATATGAAATAATTGTCATTGGATACAATAGATGGCATGAGTGCAACCATATACACACACACCGATTGAATGTCAATGTCATCCACTTAGAAAACGCTAGAATAAACTGTCAAGTAAATTGTGCGGATAAAATCGTTGTTGAAAAATTGAATTATTATTTTATTTTTTTGATTTCATTTTTTTCTTTTCGTTCAATATTTTCGGGCCGGGTTTTTGAAGCGTCAACGCTCAATCACCGCAATCAATCAATTCACAAATGTTTTCGTTATTCATCACGAAAAACATTCAACAACTTTCTACCGATCATTGCTATAAACAATTTCGTTAGCCAATACAAACAAACTCGTTGATAAATTTTAATGTAAACATGCTTATAAATATTTTCGATGAACAATTTTGATAAATTTTGAATAACGTATTTCATATCTTTTTAGGGTGACATCAAAAACTTAGTTAAAGAAACGACACAATAATAAAATCGTAAAACAGAACGAATGTTCATTGCATTTTTTGTATCACATAGAGTCTCGAACATTCTTTAAAAAAAAAATTGCCCTTCCATAAGGAGGTTGTAAGAAAACGAAATAAATCGATACAATGGCAAATATATTATATTGTTGGGGAAGCACAGTTAATGGCGAATTGGGTTTAGGCGGCATCGAAGAAGAACATGTAATTTACCTGAAATTCGAATTGTTGGTTTTTTTTCTGTAAGAAATTTATTTTACCGTTTGAAATAGCTGTTGGTGCCAAGAGAGCTCGATTGGTCATTGGCGTCACAAATTCAATCAATTTCATGTGGTCCAGTTCATTCACTCTTTTTGGTAAATGGAAAACTGTATTCGTCCGGAAGCAATGATTTCGGTCAATTAGGCCACCAACAACCAAGAAAACGTCCACGTATGTCAAAATTTTGTATGTAAACACTGGATCATTTATTTTCAAAATTCCTTCATCCCAGATCTGACCACATTCATCGTCAATAAGTACAAAAGCTACCGTCAGTCATTTTAATAATTTTCCTTTTTTTTTGTCCCTTTAAAAGATTCAATGCCAAGTGATTTTTCTTTTATTTAAGAACCTATTTGAGAGAAAAGTGACCGACGAACATTTATTTAGCTTAATTGATATTTAACGAGACCAAGATTTCCAACTGCATTTTTAATGATGGGAATTCCATTGATTTTTCATTTCATTCAAAACATTCTATGGCACATTTTTCCAATTAGCTATGAAGAAAACTTCAAGAATGTTGTGAAATATTTAAAAAATAGTAATCTTTATCAGTTCTGTTAATATCCAGAGAAGATATAGGAATAATGATGGTAAAAGAAAAAGCTTTTCCTCAAAACAAATATGTTCTAACTATAAAAGTGTTATTTACTTGAAAAAAAAACAATATACATATGACGATGATAGTGTTAGTTATCTCAGTAGATAACAAACCAAAAAACAACATCTTTCACACATTTTGAGTAAGATCGACCCAATTCCAAGCGTTTCGATATATTTTTATCAAATATTAACCACAAACTTTCGAATGTGTTTGTTTTTCTTACAGATCAAGTAGAAAATTTGGAAAATCATGTAATTACAAAAATTTGTTGTGGTAGCTCACACAGTTGTGCAGTTAATGAATGGGGGTATGAATAAGTTTTCTTTTTAAATAAAATCTAATATTGATTTTCGGTTTTGTCTCTTAATTCAATAAAATAGTAACCTTTGGACGTGGGGATCCAATTCTTTCGGTCAGCTTGGATACGGGGAATTCGATACAAACGAGCCACAACCAAAACTAGCCAAAAAATTAGCCACCAAAAATATTGTACAAATTGCGTGTGGCGATCATCATAATCTGGCTCTGACAAATGGTACATAAATTATATCGACGATCAATCGAATGATTCAATTGCTCTGATTTTTTTAAATCGTACAATCCACGTATATTTTGTAGAAGGAGAGATTTATGCATTTGGATTGAATAACTATGGACAACTCGGAATTGGAAATGCTGAAAAAAAAGTTGTGAATCCAGTAAAAATTGATTCATTAAATGGAATTCCGATAGCATTTATTGCATGTGGCGGCTATCACAGTTTTGCTATCTCAAAGTGAGTTCATGTTAATTATGAGCGAAAAAAAAAACATGTTGTAAAATGATATTTTTTTTCAAGATCGGGAGCAGTCTTTGGATGGGGCAAAAACAATTGGGGCCAACTTGGTGTAGGTGATGAACAGCCACGATATTTTCCAGCAAAATTGAAAACATTAAGATCGATAGGAGTTCGAAAAGTATCAGCCGGTGAAGATTTTTCCGTGTTCCTCACTATGGACGGTAAATAAATTGGCGAAAAAAGATTGAATTCAAATGTGATTATGATTTTTATTAATTTTTTCTGTTTGATTTTCCAAAAATAGGCGGCATATTTAGGTAATTGAAATATTTAAAATTAAAATTCATTAATAATTCAAAATGTTTAAAAAAACCTAAAAATATTTAAAATATTTTATTTAGCTGTGGAGCTGGAAATTTTGGACAGCTTGGTCATGGAAACAAAAATAATGTCTCTTTGCCGCGTATGGTGGTGGAAATGATGGGCAGTGCAGTGACACAGGTGGTGTGCGGAAATCGACACACACTCACATATGTACCATCACGTGGTCGTGTTTATGGATTTGGCTTGAACTCATGCGGTCAATTAGGTAATTCTTACAGATTTTCATAGTAAGTGTATCTCTAGTAGTTATCAATCAAAACTATTACATCATTTTTAGGCCTTCGTTCAACGAATAATTCCGTTATTCCAAATGTTGTTTTTGGACCATGGGTTAGTTAATGCAATCGCAAATAAATTTATTGAATCACAACTGTTTATCTATCTATTTAAATATAAATCATTGCCATAAAATTCTAGGCAATTGACAAAGACGATAAGACTGAAGAGACAAATATTTTTGTAAAGCAAATATTTTCTGGTGGCGATCGATCATTTGCGTATACAACCACAGACAACACCAACAGTTATGACTCTCGAATTTTTGAGTAAGATATTCAAAGCAATTACATTGTCTTGCATTGTCTACAGCCAATTCAAATATATATTTTTTAATTTTGGGTTTTGTTCTGTCATTTTAGACCAAGCACACAAATCGCAATATTTACAATTAGTTTGGCCGAACATTGTGCCACTATTGAAAAAAATGAGACCGTTGATGACACATTGATGTCGTCCATTGAAACCTTATTCCGCAGTTTAGCCTGTATAAATGGTTCGTTTTTAAAATCAAATGATGCGCATATGTGTTGTTCGTCGAAAAATCATGGTTTAAATATGGTTGATGCCGAACTAGCATTTGGTCACATTCGAAAAATGGAAAATGTAACATTGAAGGAAATGGTATGGATATACCAAGCATTTTATTTGAAATATGATCCAATTTTTAAATTTTTCTATTTGATTTTCCACAGATTTGGGATGGTATCACAACACAAATTATCCGATCATTGAAACCGTCTCCCGCTGATGTTGAAGTATTACGCGTTTATTTACTGTTACCACTTTACCATGAATTTATTAATTCAAAAAATTATGAAAAACTGCACACACCATTCAGTCGTGCTGTTTTAAATTTAAACAAAATTCCACTACAAATTGTCTCACAATGGTACGCCCGAGGGGCAAATCACTTGAAAATTCCTTACTAATTATTATTGATTGTATTACGATTATTTTAAATTAATTCGATTCTTTTCTTTTGTGATTCCCCGCTTAGGTACGCCGAATCGAGAATTGAGTACTTTGAACGATTAGTTGAAAACTACAAAGATGTTGTGATGCATGTGTTAACATTTAAGTTTGCAAAGAGTAGTTGTGCTGATGCATTATTGCCGGTGGTAACATACGAACCAAATTTGGAGAGTGCGTTGAGAATGCTCAAGCTACTCTTTCAAATAAACATGAACCAACGGACACAACGTTTGTCATACGAGACATTCCACTTGCCAGAACTAACCGACATGGTCGATTTGCAAAAAGACTTTTTCAATTGGAGTCAAACTGAAAGCAATGTAAGTAATATAAAATAGAGTCGGGTATATTTTTAAGTCAATGAAAAACAACAAAATGTCTACTTTTGTTTTTAGCCGAACCAAACGTTCCTCTGTAATTTCCCTTTTATATTCGACGCAAAGGCAAAAACGCTATTACTACAGACCGATCAAGCCATTCAGATGCATCATGCCGTTTATCAAGCTCAACAAACCATGCTTTTGGCAATGTTATTTTCAAATCAACCGACCGATATCAGTGAATTTGTTGTGTTCAATGTGTCCCGTGAAAATATCGTAAATGATACAATTCGTGAAATTTGCCAGTGCGATGTCAAAGATTTGAAAAAACCATTAAAAGTAAAATTTCTGGGTGAAGAGGGTGAAGATGCTGGCGGTGTTAAAAAGGAATTCTTTCTTTTGTTGATGAAAGAGATTCTCGATCAAAAGTACGGAATGTTTCAAGAATATGAAGAATCACGACTGATCTGGTTTGCAGCAAACAGTTTTGAAGATCCCGAAATGTACAAATTGGTTGGAACAATTTGTGGACTTGCTATTTATAATTTCATTATTATACATTTGCCATTTCCATTGGCACTTTATAAAAAATTGCTGAAAGAAAAAGTGGATTTAGACGATTTTAAAGAATTATCACCGGTGATGGGAAGAACACTGCAAGAAATTTTGGACTACGATGGCGACGACATGGAAGATGTGTTCGATTTGACTTTTGAAATTACCCGAGAAAACTATGGAAATTTTGAAAATATACCGCTCAAAGCGAACGGCGAAAATATCCGTGTAACTCAGGAAAATAAGTATGCATTTACAGAAAATTCTGATATATAATGTTTGACTGAACTCAAAATTTTCGAAAAAAAAATCACAAATCATTTTCAGGAAAGAATTTGTTGAATTGTATATTGATTTTCTATTGAACAAATCGGTTGTAACCCATTTTGATGCGTTCTATGCTGGATTTATGAAAGTGTGTGGCGGACCAGTGATGGAATTGTTTCGAGCACACGAACTTATGGCGCTGGTTATTGGTAATGAAAATTATGACTGGGATGCATTTGAACAAGCAACCAAATATAAGAATGGTTACACCTCTGGCGACCCAACCATTCGCTTATTTTGGGAAGTATTTCATGAACTTTCATTGGACGACAAAAAGAAATTCTTACGTTTTTTGACGGGAAGCGATCGAATTGCCATCGGAACAAAAGCATTACAAGTAAATCAAATACCTTCTCTGTCGCTCATTCTCGATGATTAAATTCCAAGTTTTGGTTAACAATTTTCTTTTCAAACTCTTTCATTTATAGATTATTATTCAGCCAGTGAACGATGACAAATTTTTACCTGTTGCACATACCTGCTTCAATTTGCTAGATCTTCCGCGGTATCAAACAAAAGAGAAACTTAAATACAAACTGATGCAAGCAATTCAACAACATCAAGGATTCAGCTTGGTTTAAACACTGCAAAACACCTTTTGACGCGAATCTGCATACATTAATTAATTTGTGATACAATAAAGAGAACAAAAAAAAATGTTATCGCATTTGTTGACGATAAACAGTTTCATTAAACTTGTTTTCAAACAAAAATCAAAGAAAAAAAAACAACAACTGAGATACTCAGGTTATGTAATAATCCGTTGACATTGTTAACTTATTTATGTTTTTGTCGATTTGAAAGAGGATGAAAAAAAGGAATCACATGAAAACATAATAAAATTATTTTTGTATCAAAGCGAGAATTTTTGTTTCAATTATGTATGTAACGTAGCAACTCTGTAGATTTGTTTCCTGGTTACGGAATTGTTTGATCGAAAATTCGTGCAAACCTTGATCTGGTTGGAGTGAATCTGCAAAAGTGTCAAAAGGACTCATTAATTTGACCATATTTTGTTTAGTTCCAAGTGAAAATAGAAAAGAAAATATCGAAAATAAAAATGGAGGTGATGGAAGAAGGTGATCTAATGGACAGAGTTCCAATTTTGCTGCAACGAGATCGTCAATACTACGACGTAAATGTCATAATTTCTCAAAATTGTTGTAATAAACGTCAAATTAAACTATAATATATTTTTATTAGCAAAATCAAACAGTTCTTCAAGAAGTTATTTGTCCCGGTGTTGTTGGTGGAACGCTAGATTTTCCTCGATCAGCATCATTTGCATCTGTTAAAATGGTCGAATGGTTCGCATATCCATATTTTAAGCGTTCAAACGGGAGACTGAATA